AAAATTAATTTAGAACCCATTTGGCCCCCATTTTGGGGAAATGAAAATATGTGGAATAATATATATATATATATATTTTTTTTAAATGAGCGATTGAAAAAGAAGTAAAAGTTTTTAATTAACGTGTAATATTATTTTATGAAAAATTGTGTAATTAAAAATAAGAAAGAGAAAAATGAAATGTAATAAAATTAAAATTAACGGAGGCCAAGCAGGGGCTTAAAGTTATAATTGTAAAGATTAAATAAAAATAATTTTGAAAAACTGTACATGATTCAACTCTACTACAGGACTTCAATTGAAACAAATATCATCGTAAGTCTTCATTCTATAATATTTACTAAATGATAAGACTTAAAAAATCATTATTTTTATATTAGAAAATAGTTTCAGTAATTATTTTATATTTAAAATTATTTCAAGAATGATTTTTAAAATATGAAATCAATATTACTGATTGTTTTTTGACCTTTTTTAACATTTCATCAAAAACATTTATACAATAAGAGAAAATGCATTGAAACATCTTGATATAGATTAAAAAAAAAAAAAAAAAAAAAAAAAAAATTACAATAGCAAATTGGATAACGTAATTTAAAACTGAAATAATAATTTGTACAAAAAAAAAAAAACATTTGTAATACGTAAATATAATATACTGAATTTTAAATAAATAGTGGGTAATACTACACTTTAAAAAATACTATAGTTTTTGAGAGTAACTGCTTGAAGAGAGCAATAAGAAAATGATTAAATATATTTAAATTATAGAAAAAAAAATTCAGAAACTCCAACAGAATTTTGGAGGGGAAAAAACCCAAATACCATTGATGGCCAACTTTTCGCCACCCAACTCAGAATTTTTATTTGCTAATAACACGATCGATAATTGTTGCCAATGTAATCCCCACATAGTTCAACCTCCTTTACACCTCAAGCCACGTCCATTTCATTGAACTTTACCCAAGTATCTACTTTAGAGCTCAAAAATTATTTGAAGCTAAAACCCCGTTCATTATGGTGTTTAATATTAAATACTAAACATATATTATGACAACATTTTAACCTTTGAATCAGATACAGATCTAATGCTGAACGACATAAACCATTGCAAAGATACCTCTAGTGGCAGAAAATAATTCAAAATTACTGGTCAGTTGAAAACATAATCGCGTACTGGCCGTACAAGCATTACGAAGTGTAGCATACATCATCGGTGTACCGTCAAAGCCGAGACGTCATCAAAACCATCCAGCCTTTATTTGTCAAACTCCCATATCACACCTCCATCCTCTACACATCAGTGAAAAAATGAACACTATCATAAATTTTGAATCATTGCATGCACACTATGAGTGGAGGAGAAAAAATGTTGCAGCTGGACAGGTAAAACTGAACAACAGCGACTTGCATTATTATGAATCATTAAGTATATGTAGTTTATATGGTACTTGTTGCAGCTGGACGGAATCTTCTAAAGAGTATCTGGCGAAGGGATCTAATTCAATCAAGTGAAACTGAAATAATTTAGAGCAAATGACATACCTTTGACTTTTTTGTTTATCCAGGTTTCAATCAGCATGCCGGCACCAACTCCAGCTGCGATCCATGCCCCATAAAAAGCGATGGCAGATGGTAAAGATTTTCGCGGAAGGAAATAATAATCTGGAATTTGCCTCATCTTTTTTGGCAGTCGTTTCTTCATAACGCGTCCAGAATCAGAATCTTTGGTTGTTGATTCACCAATATTTTTCCAATCCATTTCTTTCAACAGATCTTTCTCTTCCATGCCCATGATCAGAAATTTGTCTTCCAATCAGGATTCTGGTTCAAATTCAAAAATTTCATAAAAAATGGATGTCATGAATGGAAGGTGGTGTAATCAAACTAAAAAGGAAATAAGCGAAGAGAGGTAGGCAGGTTATTCTACCACTTAGTTTAGGTCACCTTTGATTTGAAAATAGCATTTGAACTCCAAAAAGGGCCATTTTCACTGCACCATCGTAGGATAATATAGCTTTTTATGTATCCACCCGATGTGGTATCTATTTATTTATTTATTTATTTTTTTCGGACGAGCAGAATTCCATATATTTTCTCTAGAAACTAAAATGATATAAAACTTTATACAAAGCTCAACATCATCATACAATCATAATAGCAAGTGCAAAAATGAAATAATCTCCAGATTTCAAATTAAAATTCTTATTTCCTAAAAGAGTATTTAGTATCACTTAGTCGTGCAACTCTAGCTTGCACCCTTGCTTCACTTTTTTCTTCCCCTGTTTTACTGAGTTCCAATCAACTAAATCTTTACATTCAAATAATAAGAACTATTTCTTCAGCCCTTCCCTCAGGGCAAAGCAACAAGCAAGATTTGATTGGATGAGGCAAAGAAATGAAGAGTCTCTAAAATTTAAATGCCCATGTAAATATTATCAAACGAAAACTACACAGACCATTTCCTAGAAGAAATCCAGCTCAGATTTGGTCAAGCTTTGCATAGCTTGGAAAATGCCAAACGCTACTGGGTGGGCAAGGAGTGAGTCCCTTTTTTTTCTTTTTGGTTAGTTCAAATCGATCGAGGAAACTTAGTTCTTCAAATACCATTCAAATTAATCCATCCGTTGCTCGAATTTGATTCTTAAAAAGCTAACTCATTCAAAGAACACGTGTGGGAAACCATATTGTAACACTGGTAAAGATTCTAAGCAATCTTGAACTGCTTGAAACTCCTCTTGAGATGGCTCTATAACATTCGAATTTTAATCTTTGAAGTGTAGGACTTCTAGTACTTTGTCAGAAGGTTTAAACAACAGCAACTTTAGTCCCTAAAATCTTAGGTTTGTAGAGCATACAGAGTGCTTGGATGTAAAATCTGGAAGAAAGTGGACACTTGAATTAGAAGTGATACATAAATTTCTTTGTCATGCATTGCATTGTTCACAAATGCATAGAATGTCACCTTTTGCGTGTAAACCACTATTTTTTATATCAGTTAAGCATGGTGGACAATCTACCACCACTTCCCAAAAAAGAAAGGTACAAAAAAAAAATGGATATGCAAATGAAGAGAAACGGTAGCTCCTCCAAAACTAAATATGGCCCCTGTTTAGCCTGAGGGTTCTAGTAAATTAATGATAGACACACAATTCATTCAACATCGAATTAGTTTATAATGTTGCTTTTGATTTTCTTGAGAAAATGTCAGCTTCGTATACCTCTCTTTGAATTAGAGACTGCTATTAGAACTTCAAAGGGATGATGCTTCACTTCTCTTAAGCATAACGTGGAGCAGAAAAGCTTTATCTGACCCCAACATAAACAGGCCAATTAAACTATTCCGCGAAGGGAAAAAAATCAATATTTTCAGAAGAAAATCCAGCAATGTAGCAAAAAAAAAATTCCCAACCCACCCTCTTCGGTGGATCAAAAGAGAAAAATAACACATGTCGAACAAACGAAGATATATATATATATATCAAAAGAGAAAAATAACACATGTCGAACAAACGAAGATATATATATATAAAGGTTGTATGTGCATGTAATAAAACTCATATATCAATGTGGAAAAGAATTGATGGAAAAAAAGACACTCAAAAAGTGAATTAACACCTAAATACCTCAGCTGACGATAGCATTTCAGAATTGAAATTCCCTGACATTGTCAAATAATAACGTTGGATTTTTGAGTTCTAATTCCCATTATTAGGAGAGATCGATTTCTCATTCCTAAGCTCCAGTGTACTAAATCATTCGAATTCAACAGCACACCAAGTCCATTTTACTTGCACGCTTTTTAAACCACAAGGGAATCTGTAAATGTCTCAAGTCATTTTTTTAGATCAACAAGATGAAAACAAAATGCTCCAGAGTACCACTTTTGTTCAAAAATGGGTATGCCACAATGAAATCCACACATCTAAGCGAAAAAAGGGAAAACAAGAAATTATAAATGCAAGCCCATTGCTTTTCACCAAGAATTGGGCTCAGGAGAATTGATTGGGCTTGAAGTAGAAGTACCGTTATAGCCTGCTCCATCAGCACACACACATGAGGTCTACCAATCACCTTAAGTCACAAACATCCTTGTACCCAGCTTGACCCAAACTCAGATACTAGGCTTATGCTGCTTGTTACCTTGAGAAATCAATCAAAAGGATCAAATCCATCAAGTCGCAAAAAATCCTCCCTAGCCGGGTTCTATCACCAATACCAATATGATTGGGACTCTTAACACACTCTCTTACTTAAGGACTCCCATTTTAATGCAGTCCGTCCATAAACAAATACACCATGTCGAAGGAAATCCCATGCTTATGAGCAGAGGCCATGATCACAGTTGAAATTAGCATGTATGCAAAGCTCGACCTCATGAATGGTGACTTTGATTTCCTTGAGGGAAAAAGAGATCAAGATCAAGGCAAACCAAAGATGGTACTCCACTAGCAAAGTAGGATCATGCACTACAACTCCAGTTGAACAATTGAGGTTGTACTAGGGATCCTTTAGCACTGCACAGGAGCCCAAATTGACATATACACACTTCAATGTCAACCTAATACATAACAGAGTGTAAAGTCCTGTGCTACAGGATCATCGCCTAAAGAGTTATTGATAACCAATACATTTAAGTGAGGCCTTATATGTTTATAGACTAATTTTCCATGCTCATGAGAGGACTCATTAAACATTAGTCCATGACAAGTGCATCTACCTGGTTGCAATCTTATCAGAACTTATGTTTCAGGCAGCAGTATGCATACATCAACCATCTTTGGTGCACATATTCTAATGTATTGCAAAACGTCATGAATCTGTCATCTAATGAGCCAATGGGGAAAGAAGAGAAGCAGAACCAGTTGAAGAGAAGAAGGAAAGGAAGAGGAGGAGCCAACCGAAAATTCCATCAACATATTAGTAAAATTGAAACCTAGAAATAATTAATCCAGGAATCTTTTTCCCAATTGCAAGACTTTTAAAAAGTCAATGGAGTATAACAATTCACCAGTTTGATTTTTGGAATTGTAAACTGTACATCAAAACAGCAGCAATAATCAACAACCTGCCTTCAAAAAACACCTTTCCTTGCTGCCTAGACAACCAAAAAATCCAGCAACAATACCAACGACATCACTTAATGCTTCCTAATTACATCACCCATACAAGCAGCAAAACCATCAAAAGACACATCAAACACCGTTCATCCAATCAAATGGTGGATACTATATTTAAGTTGACATAAACGAGGGTCGTTACATTCAAACACAAATAGAAAGCGTAAAATATTGAATCATTCAGTTACGACATAAGAAACATACACCAAGCGTAGTTTAAATATAAAAAACCCAAATTCTTGAGACAACATTGCATCGAGGAACTTCATTAATAAAATTAGATAAAGTAGATAAACTAAAATTTGACCTATGGATATGCCAGACAACAATACATAGGGCTTGTCATGCCCAAGACAAGCATTTTGATCAAAGAATTTCGAAGCTTTTTGTCTTGCCTTCGGTATCCACTTATTAAATGGAGAAACGAAATCTATGTTCGAAAACTTACCCAAATAGCTAACTTAGTAGCGTCTTCTTCCTTCGGTTCTGGTAGCGGTAGGTGGGTCGAACTCCTTGTTTGACAAAGATCACCGGATTCGCTAGTTTTTCGCCCTAGAATTTTTGGGGTATTTCGCTTGTGTTGAATTTGTTTATTTATTTATTATTTATTATTTTTTAACAAATAATAAATGTTGCAATCCTTGTTACAATATACACATTTTGCAACATTCAATTGAACATTAAAAAAATAATAATAATAAATAAATTTTTTGCAACATTTAAAGAACGTTGTAAAAAATAAAATTTTTCACAATAATGAATTAATATTGTGAAAGACTATGTATTAAAGAGTTTCAGCAACAGGCATTGAATATTGCTGTAGAACTAAGTTTTAAAAGTATTCATTAAACATTGTAAAAAATTAAATTTTTCGCTAAGTTCAAAAAACGTTGCAAAAATTGAAAATTTTGCAATAGCTAATAAACATTGGAAAATGCTATATATTAAGATTTTCAACAATAGTCGTTGAATTTTGCTACAAAACCAAGTTTTAACAACAATTATTAAATATTGCAAAAAATAAAATTTTTGGCAACATTCAAGGGACGTTGCAAAAATTGAAACTTTTCAAAACAGTCAATAAACGTTGTAGAAGGCTATATGTTAAAAATGTTACAATCCAAATTTTACTAGTCAGAAACTAAAAGTTGAATTGTCAAAATCAAAGTCAAATAGGAACTAAAATAAAATAAATTACTTTATTTGGGACTTAATTTATTATGGAAAATATTTTGAAGGTTTTAAGTTGGACAAATAAAATTTTGGGATTTACTATATATTTTTGAAAGTTTAAGATTTAAAAATGGACTTCCTTAGTAATTTAAGTTAGTGATCCATTATTTTATTCCATTAAACCCATTTTACACCAAAAACACGCACACAGAGTTGACATCGGGCATAGAAGTTGGGGAGGAGGAAAAATCAAGAAAAATGAAGAAAAAAAAGTGGGGAAAAAAAGAGAAGAAAAAGAAAGAAGAAGAAAGAAAAGAAGAAAATGAATGAAAACTTGGATTCAAGCTCTTCAATTTCTTCAATAGATAAAAGTCATAATTTTTTAAAGGAATGACGATGTTGAATTTTCTAGGATTTAAAGTAGTTGGTTTAATTTGTGAGCATAACTTATAGATTAAGAGAAATTAATACCATACTTTGATGAAGTTCATTGATTAGTTAATCTCTGTATACCTTAAGTTGAGAAAAACAAATTTTTAGCAAACCCTAGATTTTATAGTGGATGCTTGAGTAAAGATTATATGTGGATATGATTATGTGATGGAATTATTCACTTGAGAAAATGATTTGATGGAGCAAGATATATATTAAATTGGTTGTAGTGGGATTACTAGTTTTCACTAGAATAAAATGGATAAATTATTTTTATGCTTTGGTTGAAGGTTACCTTGAGGAATTAGTTATTAGAAAATGGATGAGAATAAAGTGGAATTAGCTCCTACTGATCAAAGGAAAATTTGGGAAATTTATTCAAATATCGGAAAATCTAGTTTAAGTACTATCATTACAGATAAAAAGGTTTCTTGTTTTGACAGTGATTAAATTGGAGCAAGGAGATCTGAAAAGCTTATGTACCTTCCTAGGCTATAGCTTGACTTGTGATTGGATAAAAATTTATTTTTTAGAAATTAGTATTTATTAAATTTATATTAGATCAAAAAATCTATTATTCCATACATTTGATTTGATATCATGATTTTGAGAAAAAATACATCTTATAATCAGTTGTTTTTAAAGTTAAATTCAGTTTAGTTAAATAATTTCATTAGCGTGTTATGTAAGTATTAAATATATCAATATATCTAAAGTTATTTTTAAAATCACTTGAAAGTACACAGGTAATTTTACCCTAGTCTGCACTGGTGTGAATGTATTTTCACATTGTATGACTTCATATGGTTATTTTACCCTAGTCTGAACTGGTGTGAATGTGTTTCTACAATGTATAATCAGTTATGGTGATTTTACTCACTTTATACTATTGTGAATGTGTTTTCATAGTGTACGACCTGATTATAGCCTTCCGGTAGCTTTGCTCGCGTATGATCAGAATTGCAGAATTTCATAATTAAATAGCTTTGCCATGTATATCGATACATGAGTAATGTTATTCCAGGTACCTTTTTGGTGTGATTTTCCATTATTATACAGCTTATCAGGTTTTAGATTATAGAATTTAGTTTATTCGGTTTTTCAGAGTAATGATTTCAGCTTATAGTTTCGTGAAAGTATATTTTCACTTATATTTACTGATATCAGACTATTTATATTTAGTATACCTTACAGTTGTTCATCTAGAATTAAAAACAAAGAATTTTATGATACAATCATGTTTAGCTTTAAAAGTGTTACTAAATTTCAAAATTTCTCAAAGTTTTAATAGAGCACAATTTTCAGAAAATATGTATAAATGGAAAAATTATACTTATTTGCAAATTATCCACTCACTGATCTATAAGTTCATATATCTTTTAACCTTTTTCTTTATCAGATAGTAGCCAAGTTGAACAGCTTTGTAGCCCATTGATCTATTAAGTTGAGGTGCGTATTGTCATTAGTTGTATGACCCATTTTGTCAGTTTAGACAATTCATATTTTTAAGATACATGCATTTTAGTCAGGAAATGTATCCATATCATGGGCTCATTGCATATTTGATATATTTTGATTATGTTGGTTTTTTAGTGTCCGTGACTTGTTAAGAAGTGTAAATTTTATTCATGTGAACTTTATTTTGAATGGTTTATATTCAAAGGGACTGGCTATATTTTAAAGAAAATTCTGCCAAATTTTTTATAAAAAGTATTTTACAGTTAAAATAGGTCAAGTTGCCTTGGTGGTGGGTTCGGTACTTAGCTGGTATCTATCATCGACGTATGGCATGTGTCGAGTCTAGAAGGGTGATTCGATATGGGTCTTGTCAAAAAGTTTCAGCAACAAGCATTGAATGTTGCTATAGAATTAGATTTTAACAATATTCATTAAACGTTGCAAAAAATTAAATTTTTCACAATATTCAAGAAAACGTTGCAAAAGGAAAAATTGGCAACATGCAATTAAAAAGGGTCATCAAAACTTAATTAAATTAATCAATGTCAACATTCACTTATTAAAAGTTTGTGATAGAGCCTTTTAGCAATCAGTTTTGCAACAGACCTTTGTTGTTATGGTGAATAAATTCTAAATCATGAACTTCTAGTTTTTTGGATCACGAACTTCCAGCTTTTAATTGCACGAACTTGATGATTCAAACATCTAAGTCTTCTTTGGAATTTTTTAAAGTCAATACTATACCAGTGGGTGGATGCATTCTTTTAATTAAATCAAGAAACTAATTTTTGAATTAGACATATAGAAGCCCGAAAAATAAAATGAAATTAGGTTCATTTTTTATGTGATAATTTAACACCACGAGCCTAGCCTATAGATGAACATTATGCTCGGCCCGTATAAGAAATGAAAAACCCAATACTAGTCAAATATGTCTTAAAATGAATTTCTTTACAACCTTGTGGTGGTTCAAAGTTCAACCCAGGTCCGGCCACCAACATTTTTTTAAAAATTCTTTTGATGAAGTTGGGCGAAATTATTTAATGTTTTCCCAAAGTTTTGACCCGATGGTAAAGATTTATTTTATGTATAGTAAAATTCATTCGCGAAAATGTTATTTTTCAAAACGACGGAACTATAAGTAAAAGAGATTTTATAAGTTTTTACTTGAGGATATATGTTAATATTTTTAAGTTGAATAAAGTTTAGAAAAAAAATGATGACAAATATATAGTATTATATACACACTTTCCATGAAATATGCCCCATTAATTGGTATAAACAAGTCAAATAAATTTCAATTAAACACACACCTTATCACAGGTCATTATAATGTAACTTAAAACCTTTGCTTTTAAAATGTTTTTAAATCCAGAATTTGGGAATGAAACCTCCAAGTTAGCCAATTAACCAATTTAAAATTTCTCTTAAATTGGGGAATGAGGAAAGCCACTGTATTGTTTGCCTTCCATTTTCAAATTTCGTTTCTTTCAACTTATACGTGTAATCATAGATACACATACAAACGTAACTGATCAAAATTGTTAGGAATGAAACCGGCCATTTACTATTTTTGACCATTTTATGGCTGGCAACGTCCTGTTATATTGAAGTTTTAATTTCCAATTCTACAAATCATTTATATTCTTCAAAGTTTCAAATTAAGGTAGGTAAAGGTGCAGGTATTTATTTCATTTTCAAATTATGATTTTTCGTTTAAAAGATTGAATTAAACGGTACCTTCGAATACGGTGTTTCGATACCATTATAGTTTAAATGAAGTTGTACTTTCGGGTACGGTGCTTCGACACTACAATTGTTGAATAATCATTCTCTGGTTCTATGTGTTATAATAATGCTATAGAAATTGGATTTTGTTGGAAATCCATCTACGTGCGACGGTATGAATCTATAGTTCGAAATTTCTAATTTAAGAACGAAATGCGCCGTTAATATCTATTGAATTTCAAACTTATAGGTTAATTCCCTTCCTACAGGTTGAATGGATTTTCCTTGGGGCGGGATGATGGTAAAGGATGATGCGACATGCCATGGAGAAAGTCAGTGACTTGAAAATTTTAATCAAATCATGAAATGTTTACGTTTATTTTTTTGGATTTCTACGGACGACATATATGGAACTCTTCTAAGAATATTTCTTTATGAATAAATAATGTTTAAAAGTAGATATGTATCATAGAAATAAATTTACAAATCACCGTTTACAAAAAAAAGTTAGCGATTCAAAGTCTTGCTATCTCTTCAAAAATTTCAGTCTCTGCCTCGTTTTTAAAAATTCATAACTCTTTCGTTAATTGGAATTTTTATTCAAAGTCAGTGGTGTTGGATAGCCTCATAAGTCAGCTACTGAATGAACCTAGAATCATGTCAATCTGATATCGATAGAATTTTATATGTCGCATAAAGTAAACTGCATTGGGTAGTGTTGCCATTTTTCAGCTTCTGCCCTTGATTTCAAAAATTCATAACTCACGTGTTATTTGAAATTTTTGGACGATACCAATTGGGTTTGATA